GCGGCCACTGCACTCCACTCTGGGTGACAGAGTGAGACTTCAACGCAAAAAAAAAAAAAAAAAAAAAAAAAAAAGTACACACATTCTTGAGCTTGTTCTCAAAATATTCCTGTGAAATAGAATCTTAGTCTGCTAAAGACTTATTTAAATCACTCTCAGAACTCATCCACAGGAAAGTGAAGACAATAGCTTATTACAGTATCTAATACCTGTTTAAAATAATATAAAAATAAAAAGAAACCTCACAAACTCATTAGTTTTTCTGGAATCTTTTTAAAGGAAACTGAAATCACTTTCTCAGTAATGAAAGTGATTACACAATACAAATAACACAAACCCAACTGTGACCAGTAAGAGAAAAATAAATGTCATACATTTCTTTTTTCTATTCTTTTTTTTCCCCCCCAGGAACTGGTACAACACTTTCAGCTATTTCTCCAAAAAAAAAAAAAAAAAAAAAAAGCCAATCAAAACCTCAAATAAGTAACTTCCACTATTCTTTTAAAGTCTTGATTCATAATATTTCTGATTTTTCCCCCTACTGATATCTGGCAGTAATATGTAGCACACACTCTTTTCACAATGCCTCAGTGAAACACTAAAAAAGATTCATGTTCTCATCTTGGCTCACTGGTCAAAGAAGAAAAAGGAAACGAAAGTTATCACATTCTCAAGCTCCAGGAGAGAACCCAGTTCCAGGATCCAGGGCTTGAGGAGTCCTGTGCTCTTTCTTTAGGACACCCATGACTTCATTAATAAGGTTTAGATAGTGCTCTAGTAGTTTACACTGTCCACCTCTGCCATTAACTTCAGCTAACATCGCAATTTGTAGCAGAGTGTAATTACACAGTACATACAATTCCTTGAAGGTGTTTCTTTCTTTTGGGAGAGAGCACAAAGGGAAGGAAAAACAAAAACCCAAACAAACACAGAAAATAAACTAAATAAATGTATATGCCCTGTTAAGCTATTTATGCACTTCATTGAATGACTTTTTTGATCAGTTGTACATTTTGATTTTAAAAAGACCCTCTGGAGGGGGAAATGAGCTTTTTGCTTTGACAGATAGTTTTATGATTGTCAGATGTGTGACCCCCTCGGCTCACGAAGTATACTGCCCTCAGGAAATGCAAAGTAATTTAAAGATTTGTCTAAGTAAAATATAATTAGAAAGGTAATTCTACTGAAAAAAATGAGTGGCCTGAGGTAAACTGCAGACACAGTTCAGCTCTTTGACTTTACACAGTGAATTACAATTATGCTTATTTTATTCCCAAGGGCATTCGTTATTTTGAAACAATTGTTAAGAATTCTTATTTAGCAATTTCTATAAGTTGCATTATTCACTGAGTAGCATATCACAAACCAAAAGCAAAAGAATATCATATTTATTATAACCAATATTTTTTCTGGCTTGATACTTCACCCTGTCCCACTGGCAGTCAGTATTACAATATTTTTGTACTTCAACCTGTGAAAACACTATTTACATATTTTCCAATATGTTGAAGTTTTCAATCAGAGATTTATACAAGATCCTAGTTTCATCATCTTAAAATGTTTAACCTCTTTAGTGTGGTGGAACATATTAATGTAAAGCAAATCTCTAGTGAGACAGACCATCACAGCATGGTTTATTTACTCATTTAACAAATACTTACTGACTATATGCCACATTTATACACTAAATCAGATGCTATGGGGAAATAAAAAGAAGTACAGTATGGCAAGCATGCTTCTATGAGCTTTCAAATTGGGATAGGAGATTTAAAAAAAAAGTGAAACAAGAGTTGAGAAAAACTATAGGAATACATACAAGAGTACTGTCCAGACAGTGGACTAAGAGCCCAGGTTTCATGGAAGGATTTTCCATGGCTATTATGCTGCAGCAAGCAGAATTGCTCCAGACTGGCTTCAGAGCCAGGTTGTGTAAGTTTGGCATTTGGGGTTCAGAGAGTCAAGCAAGAACGCAAAGAACTGAGGATGGATGGGACCTGGAATGCAGAGCCAAGGAATAAAGGTTTTGGTGACAATAGCAACCTGCTCAACGTTACTGAGGAGGCAAGTAGTGAGAAAGTATTTGAAAGAATTTAGATGAACTGGAAAGAGAAGAGATGGGAGGTAAAAGGAGGCCGCTGCAGATTTTCGTGCATTATGTTCTGATCTAAGCTTCAGATAGTTGTAAGACTTGACACATGAAATACAGAGGAGGAAACACAGGAGGCACACCTTATGAAGTGGCAGATCCCAGGGGGTTGGGAGTGTGGAGTCAATCCACCTAGATGTGAATCCCAGCACTGCTACTTATTAGCTGTTTGACCTTTATGAAATTATTAATATTCCTAGGCTTTCAAATTCCTCAGTGTAAAAGTGATTAGAGAGATCGACCTCACAGGTGGTTGGAGGTTTTAACATAAACATGCATCCAAAGCCTGAGCTCAGCATCTGGCACACAGTAGACATTGTTAGTCGTCTCATTGCTTATACAAGGGAGGAGTTGCCTGCGGGTCTCTCCAAGCCACTCTAGGGTCTTTCTAGGCCACATTTGGCCAGCACTGCCGAGGTCGAGGCCCTTGTTCGAGGCTTTGGCACACCCTGAACGTACCCAGCTTCCTACCTGAGCTTCCCGCTGACCACAGTTCTCGGCCACCCTAACCTCCATCACATACCCCCAATCCACAGTCTGCTTTCATTCTACTTTTCACTTATTTGCACTGAGCCTCAGTTATGTGCCAGGCACTGAGTTAGGGATATGGGGTATAAACAGCAAGCAAAGCAGACAACAACCCTGCCCTCATGGAGCTTACTCTCTTAAGAGAGGATGCATACTTGAAACAAATCATCACATGAGTAGACATAGGATTACAAGCAAATAAAAGTAACAGGCAAAACGTGATAGAAAAAGCAAAATCACTGATTTGAAATTATGTATTTGGGATATTTGATTTGGACTGGGGGTTAGGATAGACAATATATGGTACAGGTTGGTATCTCTTATCTGAAATGCTTGGAAACTGAAGTGTTTCAGATTTCAGAGTGGGGGGGTGCGATTTGGAACATTTGCAATATGCTTACCGGTTGAACATTCCTAATAAAAAATTCTGAAATCCAAAATGCTTCAGTGAGCATTTCCTTTGAGCATGACCTCTGAGTCATGCTGGAAAAAAAAAAAAGTTTTAGATTTTGGAACACTTTAGATTTCAGGTTTTTGAATGAGGGATGCTCCACCTGCACTATCACCTCAAGACTCAGTGGAAGTTAACAGGCACAAAGAAGAGAAGAGCCAGAAGGCTGAAACATGTGGGATGAGGGTGAGGAGGCCAGAATAGGCAGGGCCCTCATGCCCAGTTGAGGACTGGGCACCTTCTACAGCAGAAAACCACGCACAGCTTCAAGAAAAGAAGTGACAAGCTCAGATCTGCTTTTCTCCTCACTTGCATGTCCATCTGCTCCTCTCACTGTAGGGGCCTATACAGACTTCTATCAAGCTACCGCCCTTCTCCCAGTATCCTGCTAAGATCTGAATTTAAGTCAGGTAGGTAAGAGAACGGAGGAGAAGGAAGAAGTGCCACCAAGCAAACCTGTACAGGGAGGCAGCCCTTTACCAGCAGACTTCTATAATCCACATTGCTCCAGGCCACATTTTAACACCCTCACGTACGGGCAGCTGGCCCCAAGACCAGCTTTAAAAATAAAGTTTCTGTAAATGCCGTAAACCAAAAATAGAGACACTGTTTGCCACACTTATGAATGCACAGCAGCCACTCTGAAAAGAGAGATCATGAAGGTACTATTCTTTTTAACCACGTTCAGTCCTACCTGAAGCCGAGATTTCTTATAGATAGCAGGTATATTTTGGGCCTCGCGCTTCGAAGACGGAGACCCAGGTCACTGTCACCATGTTGTGGTTTTTCACCAATGAACTGGACAGCGAGTCCGAGTCATCCCTGTCTAGGCAGGAACTTGGTCACCAAACCTGTCGGGGGTAACTAGAGCAAACAGCCATTGTTGTTGAGCGTGGATGAAGATACCAAGAGAGTTGTCCAAAGTGCCACGGACAAGTGGCCTGAGAAGCTGATGAACCTTATCCGAACCATCCATAATGCCATAAAGATTCGTGACGTCACCAAGTGCCTGAAATAGTTTCAGTTCCTGGGAAAAGCATATAGGAAGGCCAAGAGCATCGTGGACCAAGAAGGTGTCCCCTTGGTTCTATATCCTCATCCTGGATGACCTGGAGGACTGTCTAAATGAGCCTTGGGCAGGTAAGGAAGAGAAGAAGATGAACAAGAACAATGCTAAGACTCTGAGCACTCTGCACCAGAAGATCCAAAAATAAAACCGAGATTTTGAGTCCCATAATACAACCTACGAGCAGAACCCCCAGGCGTCTGCAGATGAAGATGCTGAGAAAAATGAGGAGAATTCAGAAGGCTCAACAGACAAGGATGAGGATGGAGTCAATGCTGCAACTTCCTTGAAGAAAAAATCAGAAGCTCCTTCTGGGGAGAGTCACACGTTCCTCAAAAAAAGCTGGAGGATGAAGATAAGGACTCAGAAGATTCTGAAGAGGATGAAGACCGGGACACAGGTTCCACATCTTCTGATTCAGACTCAGGAGGAAGAAGGCAAACAAACTGTGCTGACCTCAAGACTCCTTAAAAAGGCACCTGCCATAAAGGAGGAAAGAAGACAGCTGAGAAGAAATAGGACAAGGCCAAGAAGCAGCATGAAAGGAAATCAAAGCGACTGGATGAGGAAGAGGAGGACAAAGAAGGTGAGGAGTGGGAAAAGGTCTGTGGTGGAGTGTTCCTCGTTAAGGAGATGCCAAAAATGTTTGCCAAGGTAACTGAGATCACCCATGTTGTAATCAAGAAACTGAATGAGATCCTATGGGCACGAGGCAAGAAGGGAACTGATCATGCTGCCCAAATTAAGCTGCTACAACTGCTGGATCAGATGGCTGCTGAAAACAACCTGGGGGGAAGGCATCATTGTCAAGATCAAGTTCAATTTCGTTGCATCTCTCTTTAACTACAACCCTAATCTGGCAATATATGTGAAGTTGGAGATGTGGCAGAAGTGCCTGGACTGCATCAATGAGCTGACAGACATCCTGTTTGTAAACCCCAGCATCTTTGTTGGAGAGAACATTCTGGAAGAGAGCGAGAACCTGCAGAATGTTGACCAGCCACTGCATGTCCGTGGCTGTACTGTAACTCTAGTGGAACGAATGGATGAAGAATTTACAAAAATAATGCAAAATACTGATCCTCACTCCCAAGAACGTGGAACACCTGAAGGATGAGGCACAGGTGTGCACCATCATTGAGTGCATGCAGCACTACGTGGAGGAGAAAAGCACCACTAAGACCTGTCGCATCTACCTGAGGTGCATCCTCCACACCTATTCCAAGTTTGATTACAAGGCCCATCAGCGGCAGCTTGCCCTTCCTGAGGGCGCCTCAAAGTCTGAGCAAGACTGGGCAGAAAATGAGTGTGAGGACTCTGCTATGCTGATGGAGAGACTGTGCAGGTACATCTATGCCAAGGACAGCACAGACCAAATTCGCACATGCACCTTTCTCTGCCACATCTACCACATGCTCTGCACTCCTGCTGATACCAGGCCTGTGACCTCATGCTCATGAGTCACCCACAAGACAAAATTCAGCATGCAGACCCACCAGTGCAGATCCTGTACAACCACACCATGGTGCAGCTAGGCATCTGTACCTTCCACCAAGGCCAGTCCAAGGATACACACAATGTGCTGCTGGACATCCAGTCGAGTGGCCGGGTTATGGAGCTTATGGGCCAGGGTCTGCTGCTGTGCAGCTTGAAGGAGCGCAGCCAGGAGCAGAAGAGGGTGGCAGGTACCCTTCCACCTGCACATCAACCTGGAGCTGCTGGAGTGTGTCTACCTGGTGTCTGCCATGCTCTTGAAGATCCCCTACATGGCTGCCCATGAAAGTGATGCTGAAGTATGAACAGCATACAGTTCCACCACCAGCTGGGGAGAAGCGAGCTCCAGCCCTTGCTGGGTCCCCCTGAGTCAGTGAGGGAGCATATGGTTGCTGCCTCCAAGGCCATGAAGATGGGTAACTGGAAGACCTGCCACAATTTTTATCATCAATTAGAAGATGAGGCCGGGCTCGGTGGGTCAGCCTGTAATCCCAGCACTTTGGGAGGCCAAGGCGAGTCAATTGCCTGAGACCCACCTGGACAACTTGGTGAGACCTCGTCTCTACAATAAATCAAAAATTAGCCAGGCGTGGTAGTGCACGCCTGTAGTTCCAGCTACTTGGAAGGCTGAGGCGGAAGGATTGCCGGAGCCCAGCAGGTGGAGGCTGCGGTGGCCAGGAGCATGCCTCTGCACTCCAGTCTGGGGAGTGAGACTCCAACTCAAAAAAAAAAAAAAGGAAGATGAATGGGAAAGTGTGGGATCTTTTCCCTGAGGCAGACAAAGTCCACACCATGCTGGTCAGGAAGATCCAGGAAGAACCACTGAGGACCTACCTCTTCATCTCCAGCAGTGTCTATGATTCTGTCAGCATGGAACACTGGTGGACATGTCTGAGCTGGATCTGCCCACTGTACACTCCATCATCAGCAAGATGATCGTTAAAGAGGAGCTGATGGCCTCCTTGGACCAGCCAATGCAAAGAGTGGTGACGTACCGTACAGAGCCCACTGCCTAGCAGGACCTGGCTCTGCAGCTGGTCAGGAAGCTGGGAAGCCTGGTGAAGAACAACGAGTATTTGACCACAAGCAGGGCACCTATGGTAGCTACTCCGAGACCAGAAAGATAGCTACCACAAAATGAGGGCTACATGTGCCGAGGTGGCTACCACCAGCAGCAGTCTCAGACAGCCTACTGAGCTCTCCACTTCTGTCCCTGCGGCCTAGACCATTCAACCTTTCAGTCCTGTACCATAACCCAGCCATTAAAAGGTCTATTTCAAAAAAAGATATATGCAACAAGTTCTTGTATATTTTAACAAATAACTGCCAGTGAACAATGAGGGAGAAAGAGAAGATGTATAAAATCCATCTCACTTTCAATCCATAAACACCAGAAGAGGAAAGACACAGATTAAGTTGTGGGTACAGACCACGCACATGTAGGAGTTCAGAGAAAAGTGAGGACTGGAAGAGCTAGAAAAGGCTTCACAGAAACTGAAGAAGAGTGAGGACCTGAACAAAAGAAAGTAAAGTGGTGCATACGCCTTGTGCAACAACAGAGATGGAGGATGTGGAAAGGTTGAGGGATGGTGAGGGCACCAGCCTGAATGGAGCTGAGGGCTCTCCTGTGACCCAAGACCAGACTCCACCCAGATAGAACCATTCCTTGGTATCCTCTGGGGATTGGTTCAAGGAACCCCCACAGACACCAAAATCCTTGGGTGTTCAAGTCTGTGATGCAAAATGGCACAGTATTTACTTGTCATTTACACACATCCTCCCATATACTTTAAATAATATCTAGATTTTTTTTTTTTTCAGTTGGGGTCTCACTCTGTTGCCCAGGCTGGAAAGCAGTAGCACAGTCATGGCTCACTGCAGCCTCAAACTCCTGGGCTCAAGCAATCCTGCTGTGTCAGCCTCCTGAGCAGCTAGGACTACAGGGGTGAACCACCAGGCGCAGCTAATTTTTTTATTTATTTATTTTTTTTTTTGGTAGCGATAAAGTCTTACTATGTTGCCTACGCTGGTTTTGAACTCCCTTGTCAACCGATCCACCTGCCTCAGTCTCCCAAAGTGCTGGGACTACAGGTGTGAGCCACCATGCCTGGCCTAGATTACTTATGATACCTAATACAATGTAAGTGCTACATAAACAGTTGTATGCCGTATTATTTTTTATTTATATTACTTTTATTGTTGTATTGCTATTTTTATTGTTTTTATTTTCTATTTTCAAGTATCTTCTATCTACGATTGGTTGAATCAGCAGATGCAGAGCTGATGAATATGGAGAACCAACTATAAGGTGGAAAGAGCAAAACCCTTCCCTGCCTTGGGAGGTCACACCTAATAAGAGCCATTCTGCTGAATAAGTGGACACAACGGAAGCCTTGATCCTAAAGATACAGTTAATTCCAGGTGGGAGAGATCCCTTCAAGGGCCACAGAGTTTAGAAACATCTGATAAGTAAGTTCAGCTAAAATAGGCCTTCCTGGAAGAGAAAAAAAAAAAAGCAGAGCACAAGAACTCTCTTAGGTTTCCAACTCCTTCCAGGTGACCAAATCAGGGTTTCATATAGCGCATATGTTTGCCTTCTCCACTTAAGCTGCAAAGTCCTACTTATCCACCTGGAGCTATTCTGCAGAGGTAGCTGAACACAGTAATTGGGTAGCAAAAAAAGAGCTGAGAGAGCCGTCTCACAAGGAGAGGTCACTGGGGGTGAGATGAAGCATGAAAACCATATGCTCAGAAAAAGGACGGCTGCTGACAGGGCACACAGAGACATGTATCAAGTATCTGCGATCCGCAGTGCAGGAAAACAGTGCAGAGAAGCATGATGGAGGGGAAGAAGGAGAAATAGGGAAAGCGGCTAGTTGCAGAAGCTACCATCGGGAAAGCTGGGAAAGCTGCATGAGTGCCACCCCTTTTTGAACCTAGAGGCGATTGTTAATGATAATGATAATAATGAAATGATCTTTGTATTTTAATAACAAGCCATAACCTTATGAGCATTTTATGAGATCATCTCAGCCTCCTGGCTTTGTCTGCAGAAATCACTAGTGCGTGAACTGAGTTACCAGACTGAACAACAAATTTCTAAAACTGCAGTTTGAAAAACTACATTTTGAGAACAAAGAAATCCCTGTGCAGGGGCAGCAAAAGTAGAGAGCCTAGAACATGAAGGCACTGATGCAGTTTTCTGCCATTCCACTGGCACACAGCTGTATAGTCCTACAGACACCAAACAAGTTATTAGTAGTCGTTAATGACAGATACCGCTGACGGACTCAAGCTAAAGGAAACAGTGTTAAGACATCTGTCACATTTGTTTATTGATATAGGGATGAAAAGTTCAGAAATTTACAAGCAAAGGATGCTACCCAATCAACCTGATCTAAGAAAAATAAGCTCTT